TGAGCGAACTTAAGTCCAGAGCTGAGCCATCAGCGCAGCGCGGAAACATTTGAAAAATTTGATTTTATTAGATATTTTATTTTATTTTAAATATGACAAATAATTAACTTAATAAATAATTAATGTCATAAATAATTATTAATAACATAATGTCATACTTAATAATTCGTTAATTAATTATTTTTAACGAAAATTTGACAAAAACAAAATTTGTTGGCCAAAAAAAATATTACCATTAAAAAATAATTTTTTTGTTAAAATTTCGTAGTAAAAAAAATTTTTTCAAGACAATTATTTGTGACCTAAAAAAATATCACGATGAGAATATAATTAACAAAAAAAATTACTCGTAGCACAGAAAAAATTTCACCATGAGAAAATAATTTTTTTTAAATTTTATTTGTAAAAAATTTATTGGTAGCTCAAAAAAAATATCACGATGAGAAAATAATTTTTTGTCAAATTTTCTCTGTAAATAAATTAATTAACTAAATAACGTACCGTAAAACGGGGTTATTTCGCTCATTGCGGGTAAATTCGCTCACCCACTTTTATGCTTTATTTCAGCTTTAAAATAAAGTTTAATACCTTTATTAGCAGGTAAAAATGTTAAATTTGTTAATAGAAATACTAAATTTTAGTTTTTAATCAAATTTAAAGCAAAAAAATGGGTGAGCGACTTTACCCGCACTGAGCGAAATAACCCTGTTTTACGGTAATTATTATAGTTACTTAATTTTTTACTACGAAAATGTAACAAAAAAATATTTGTAGAACAAAAATAATATCAAGATGAGAAATTTAATTATCTTTAAATTTTCTCTGTAAAAAAAATATTTTGTGGCCTAAAAAAATTATATCACGATAAGAAAATAACTTTTTTGTCAAATTTTCTCTTAAAAACAATTAATTCACTAAATACCGTAATAAATCGTTGATTTTTTTTACTACGAAAATTTACCAAAAATTTATTCGTATAAAAGAATATCACAATGATAAAATAATAATTTTTTTTCAAATTTTCTTTGAAAAAAAAAATTCGTGTTTTTAAAAAAAATCACGATGAAAAATAATTTTGTTGTAAAAATTTCTCTGTAAAAAAATTTAACAAAAAAATTATACGTAGCACAAAAAAATATTACGATGAGAAATTTACTTATTTTAAAATTTTCTCAATAAAAAAATTATTTGTGGCCCAAATAAAATATCACGATGAGAAAATAATTTTATTTGTCAAAATTTCTCTGTAAAAAAAATTAATTAAATAATTATATAATAATAAAATGTTTGGTCTGTCTTTCTGTCCTAACTTGAAGTTGGCCTTTTCTGATTTCACGTATTTTTTTGAATATAGTAATCTTATGACGTGTCAAATTTTGACAATTCTTTTTCTCATTTTTGCCAAAGTTGTATAATTGTGTTTCCAAATTTCGGAATAAGTTTCTTTAAAATTCCAAATTCGAAAATTCAATTCACGAAGCTGAAGTACACAACGTTTACCAACGAAAATTTTTTTAAAGTTGTATATTGATTCAAAAATTGTATACAAATACAAAAAATTTATAATGAGAAAAAAGATGCGCCAGGAAATTTCGTACAAGATAGTAATTTGAAAAAAATTTATTTTTAAGGTACCAGGGGCCAACGATTACCTATTAAATATTAATTATAAAAACACAGGCCTCGAATCAACTTAAAGACACAAAACAGTCGTTTTAGTCGATTTATATTCCAAAAAAAAGTGGATTTGTTTTTCATTTTAACAAAAATATTTTACAGATTTTTAAATAAAAATTTTTTTTTAATAATAATCCTTTTCGAAGGGTTAAAGTTGAAATTTTTAGAAATAATTAAATTTCAAAAGATATAGTTAATTTTCAAACAATTATTAAATTTTACAGATCTAAAAATAATTTATCAAACAATTTTTGGAAAACATTTTTTAAATTTAATTGAATTTTCAAAGATTTAAAATTGAGATTTTTGAAATTAATTGAAACTTTAAGTGTTTTGTAATTAAAATTTTAGATGATTTCACTAAAAATTTATTAGAAAATGCGGACAAAATACAATAATTTGAAAATCATTTTTAATTGAAAAATGGTTTCACATAGTTGAATTTTCAAAGAATATTATTAAAATAGTTAAAAATAATTGAATTTCCTTAGAGTTATAATTGAAATTATTAAATTTCAAAAAAAAAAAATTTCGATGGAAAATTTTAGAAATTTTAGATGCTTTTAAATTCAAATTATTGAAAATTCAATTAATTTTGAATTAAAATTTTTGAGAATAATGAAATTTAATTTTGATTTTAAATTTGGAAAATAATTGTACTTCAGTTCATTTTGAATTAAAAATTTTGGGAAATACTTGAATTTTACTTGAAATTTTTTATAATAATTTAATTTAAGTTCATTTTTGATTGAAAATTTGGATAATTAATTTTGAATAGAAATTTTAGAAAATAATTGAATTTTATTTCATTTTAAATTGAAAACTTGGTAAATAATTAAATTTTAAATTGAAAATTTTGGATAATTATTGAATTTTAATTGATTTTGAATTAAAATTTCGGGTAATAATTGAATTTTAGTTTATCTTGAATTGAAATTTTTAAAAAATAATTCAATTTTATTGTGATATTTTTTTTTAAATTATAAACAATTGTTAAATTTCATAAAAATTTTAATTGAAAAATAATTTTGATATAATTGAATTTGTGATGTATTTCATTAAAATTATTAAAAATAATTAATTTAGTGAAGAATCATTTTAGTTCAAAATTTGTTAAATAATTGAATTGAAGAAGATCTGAAGAAGATCTACATTTTATACCAAAAAAAATGTATTTTATTTACATTTTCTTTTCAAATGTAAAAAACAAGTCGCATTTTATTAAAATAAGTTGATAAAAGTCGTATTTTTGAAAAAAGTCGGAAAAAGTCGTATAATCCGAGGCCTGTAAACATATAATTTTCATTATTATCATTTAATATGTTATAATATTCTAATAAATTAAATTATTATTAATAATATTAATCTTTAATTTCTTAATAACAAATAATTAAATCCTCAATTTGGCGCGCTTGCGCGCGTTTAATTTTGCTAGTTAGCTTAATAATAAATTAATTAATTTTTTTATTACGAAAATTTAACCTGGTAATAAATGTATTAAACTTTATTTTAAAGCTGAAATAAAGCATAAAAGTGGGTGAGCCTCCTTTACTAAAATAAAAAAGTAGTAGCCCCAACTTTTCATTTCTCTCAGTGTATCAATAAATTCTATAGTCTTCCATTACACAGAAAAAACCTACTCTCATTTTTGTTGCATCTCAAAATGAGCAAATGCTAAACGACATAGACAGTGCGGCGCCACCAACCTGGCTCATTTTTGTTGCACTTCAAAATAAGTAGCGTACGCTACTCATTTTGAGAAGAAGATCTGAATTTGAAAAAAGTCGGAAAAAGTCGTATAATCCGAGGCCTGTAAACATATAATTTTCATTATTATCATTTAATATGTTATAATATTCTAATAAATTAAATTATTATTAATAATATTAATCTTTAATTTCTTAATAACAAATAATTAAATCCTCAATTTGGCGCGCTTGCGCGCGTTTAATTTTGCTAGTTAGCTTAATAATAAATTAATTAATTTTTTTATTACGAAAATTTAACCTGGTAATAAATGTATTAAACTTTATTTTAAAGCTGAAATAAAGCATAAAAGTGGGTGAGCGAATTTACCCGCAATGAGCGAAATAACCCAGTTTTACGGTACGTTATTTAGTTAATTAATTTATTTACAGAGAAAATTTGACAAAAAATTATTTTCTCATCGTGATATTTTTTTTGAGCTACCAATAAATTTTTTACAAATAAAATTTAAAAAAAATTATTTTCTCATGGTGAAATTTTTTCTGTGCTACGAGTAATTTTTTTTGTTAATTATATTCTCATCGTGATATTTTTTTAGGTCACAAATAATTGTCTTGAAAAAATTTTTTTTACTACGAAATTTTAACAAAAAAATTATTTTTTAATGGTAATATTTTTTTTGGCCAACAAATTTTGTTTTTGTCAAATTTTCGTTAAAAATAATTAATTAACGAATTATTAAGTATGACATTATGTTATTAATAATTATTTATGACATTAATTATTTATTAAGTTAATTATTTGTCATATTTAAAATAAAATAAAATATCTAATAAAATCAAATTTTTCAAATGTTTCCGCGCTGCGCTGATGGCTCAGCTCTGGACTTAAGTTCGCTCAACGCCACAGGGAGGGCGAACATCATAACTGTTTCTCGCAGTTGAGGTGCCTTTAGATTGGTATATAAGCAGTGATCGAAAATTTTTTTTTTGTCGAAATTTTTTTCTGCCCGATGTCTCTCCTTTATTGGATTTGAGACAAATTCTTTTTTGGAAGAAATGGTTTCACTAATATTTTGATGACCATTTTTTTATTTTAATTTAAATATTAAAAATAAAATAATAATAATAACTATAAAAAAATAATAAAAATAAATTTTTTTTTAAATTATTGATTTTTTAAATTATTATTAAAATTTTTAATATTGGATATTGGACTTACTAAATTACTAAATAAATAATATTAAAATAATTTTTGCAACATCGTAAACGACGTAGTAAACGACGTAGTAAACGACATCGTAAACGACGTAGTAAACGACGTAGTAAACGACGTAGTTTGCTATCCCAAATTCCGCTTTCATTTACGACGTCGTTTACTACTTCGTTTACTACGTCGTTTACTACGTCGCAAACTACTTAGAATACGACGTCGTAAACGAGGTCGGAATTTTCAACAGGGTGTAATTTTTGCAATATTTTAGAATAATATTATCATAAACCAAGTTTTACATCTATAAATATAAGCGTAATATTATTTTTATAAATATTTATATTTTTAGGAACATAGGTATGATTATTTCTACTTTTATATAATTTCAGCATATATATTAATAACGATGATCTCTTACATGTTGTTTACATTAATACCAGTAATTTTAGACACAGTAATGCCATTAAATGAGACACGTTCACCACGTTTGGCGATAGAATTAGATTATTACTTTTTTGACAAACATGATTATTATTTGTGGACAACTATTCACTTGTGTATTACGGCAATGTATGGTGTAGTGTCAGTAATAAGCACCGATATACTGCTTTTTACCTTCACTTTACATGCTTGTGGGATGTTTAAAGTTTTAAGGTATGTAACATTTAGTTTGTATAGGAACACTACTGCTCTGCCCTACAACCGAAAAAGACACATAAGTGTCATTTTGGTCAAAAATAAGTTTTTGGTATCAATGGATTCGTAATGAAAAACTGCATCTGACTATCGTAATTAAAAAAGAAAATTTTAATTATTTATAATAAAAAATTAAGATTAAAAATATGTCAATTCGCGAAAAATGAGAAAATACAACGGAAAAAGACACATGAGGTTCTTTGCGTTGCCTAAATTCTGTAAGAGGCATGAAATACGTCACAAAATAAAATGGAAGAATATACGCGAGGTAGCTTATGTTCTTTTTCCGTTGTAAATGCGGCCGAGCTGGGCTTTGTTTACAGAACGATATTCGCAAGCGCGCTTGTGTATTTTTTTAGCTTGTAAAAAGAGTGAGCAGAGCAAAGATGTCCAGTAGAAACTGTACACAAGCGTCTTCGGTTAAACTCGGAAGCGTGTTTCGGGAATGTTTGGGAATGAGCCGACCGGAAGATCGACAAGCATCGATAATAAAAGTGTCATGGCGCATTCCTCGGGAAAACGTGTTTTTTAACGACCTAAACTATGTAAATTTCGTTAAATAATGTAATAATTATATTGGCTGCTTATTCTACAAGAATATCAGGTATGTAAAAATTAAGCACATTCAAATAATTTGATTTACATAAAACGTCAAATTGTGCATGGGCAAATCTATTTTGAAACAGATGTAACAACTGGATTTGCTGACAGATTTTTGACAACGTAATTATACTTATACTATTGTATTATATAAATTTAATTTTTATTACGATTTTTTTGCATATTACGAACATAATAAATTACGCTTTCATAGTTTTTATTACGGTTACGTTCGATAACTTTTTGGCAAATAAAAAAAGAAAAGAAATTTATGGTTAGCCTAGAACTTTACATAATTTCCGAGATAATTTCAGTGAAATTTATTCATTTGTCTATTATAATTTTATGTCAATCATTGTTTTATTTAAATTTCAATAAAGATTTTTTAAACTGTAGAATATATTGTATCAACATTTATGTGTAAATAAACAAAGCGAATTATTTTTTTCTAACAGAATCTGGATTTACACGATGTGGCAAGAAAAAAATTGTAAGTAAAATAACCCTTTTTGTAATAAGTAAAATTACTTAATTTAAATTATCTTTTTGTCCTACCTGCTCGAAAAGTATGTCATTTCGGGCACTTAAAGCGGGCCCAAAGTATCTCATTGTCGCTCGGGGTTAGGCAAGCGGCTGCCGCCATACAAGCGTGCGTAAAAGTACTTTTACGCCCGTTTTTTTTGGTCAAGAAGGCCTATTGGAATTTTACTGTTTATAATATATTACAGTATTATATTCACACACATACATACACACACACACTTATGCAACTTATACCTATATTATAGTTGGGGCATTCCAATCTGGCCTCGCCCTGAGCCCGATCTAAATTTCTGCACGGGAAGTTATTATAATTATTCTTCAGAAATAAAATAGAGTTACTATTTAATTACATTTAATTTAAATTCTTTTTCAGAATTAAAATATAGTTCAAGTGATTAATTATATAACTTTTTCAGCAACTCCTGAGTACTCGGACACAGATTCATTTGTGGCTATTGGCAAAATAATTTGACAAAATGAACAAAACTTGGCAACACGCTCAGGAAATGAGGCCTCTGAACAATATTTTATTCAAGAAATTAGGACTTCTGGTTATCAAGAAAATTTGTCAACTTATGGCGAAAACTTTGGGACTTCTGGTTATCAAACGAATTTGCCAACTTATGGCGAAAACTTTTCTGGCAATTATTTTTCAAAGGGTTTTTTTTAACGTGAAGAAAATAATCAGTCTTATGTAAAAGCAGGTAACACAGTTAATTTTTTTGAAGAAGTATCCAATGATTCTTTTTCAAGGCAACCGCAGTTTATGAATATAAATCCCTCCCCTTTGTGCAATCAGTTAGCTCCAATGCAATCATTTTCTAACTTAACGCCAACTTTTGGTGCTGCAAATATAAATTCTTGGAGCAATTCAGAAAAAATTCACACTAACTAAAGTTATCAAGCACAAACACGTAGCGAAACGACTTCAGGAAATATTTATTCGCCCGGTTTTCCTAATACTGAAAATAATAATTATAACAAAGTGCAAAATGACGTTGCAAGTTTTTCTAGCTACCAGTCTTGTTTAGGGACAAATACCGAAGTAACTTCGATGGCAAATTTCCCTGGAACCGAATCTAATAATTCCACTTTCGAAAATAATGATTCTTTGATAAACGATAAAATGAATGTTGAGTCACAAGCAATTAATAACTCTCAAACAGAGGAAAACAATGAAAGTAATGAAAACAGTAAAAGTCTCGAAAATGAAGAAGAATCATCGGATAAAATTTCAGAAAAAAATTACATTCGTCCTCCGTGCAAAGATACATGCCGATTTAAGTGTAAAAATTTTATAACCCCTGAAGAGAGACAAACAATCTATCAAAAATATTGGGAATTAGGATGGATGCAAAAAAGACATTTTATAGTAAATCATGTGAAGTCTGTTGCAGTAAAACGACGAAAAACTGGCATAGATTCTAGGCGCAGTACTAATTATAATTACTACCCTGGCGGATTCGATTTGCGTAATGTCTACTTAACTAAGCGGACTTTAGGTAGACATTAGGTAGACATGTAAAAAAACGTATAAAAAAGCTATTAATCGACTTATTATGATAAAAAAAAGTTGATAAAAGGGTAAATGAATGTTTATAGAGTAAATTCGTACAAAATTTGTAATTAATAAAGCATTAAATAATTAATAATGAATGGAAATGTGCGCGAGGTACCTGATCAGTTCAGCTGTACAATTATTTTCGTGCTATTTTCATGAAAAGAATATAAATTGACTGCAAAAACAATTGATATTTATAAAAAAGTGTAAAATTGATTTAATTTTATTGTTTGCAATACGAACTATTAAATAATAATTAAGTTTTTATCAAATGTGAATAGTGTTGTGAAAACCTGTGAAAACTAATGAGTTACTACATTACCGATCGCATATGATAATAAAAAGTTCTCGATGAGTGTAACAAAATAGCTGCAATCATGTCCGTAATTTTGGACGAGAAACAATTATGAAATAAATAATTATTTGTATAACTTTATTCTGCATTTTAAAATTCACTTTTTATTTTCTTTCAAAGCAAAAGCTTGGAAGAAAACATGCTCGCACTGTATTGTAAAAACTGGTGGCGCCATCTCTCATATGCGATCGGTAATGTAGTAACTCATTAGTTTTCACAGGTTTTCACAACACTATTCACATTTGATAAAAACTTAATTATTATTTAATAATTCGTATTGCAAACAATAAAATTAAATCAATTTTACACTTTTTTATAAATATCAATTGTTTTTGCAGTTAATTTATATTCTTTTCATGAAAATAGCACGAAAATAATTGTACAGCTGAACTGATCAGGTACCTCGCGCTCATTTCCATTCATTATTAATTATTTATTGCTTTATTAATTACAAATTTTGTACGAATTTACTCTATAAACATTCATTTACCCTTTTATCAACTTTTTTTTATCATAATAAGTCGATTAATAGCTTTTTTATACGTTTTTTTACATGTCTACCTAATGTCTACCTAAAGTCCGCTTAGTTAAGTAGACATTACGCAAATCGAATCCGCCAGGGTATTTGTCAAAATCCGATGAAAGTTTAGAAAAACAACAAGTATGTAAATTATTTTTTCTAGGGACGTTAGGTTACAAATTCAATAATGACGTTATTATCAGAAGTACTATGAAAACTGTGGATCCTATTACCTTAAATCCGAATGTGATAGACGGTCGCGGAAAAGCAAAAGATGCGTATTCTGTAGTATTGCACGAAAAAGTTAATAAGCATATTGAATCTTACCATCCAATGATTTCTCAATATAGTCGTAGCCACGCGCCGAATAGACGTTACTTGTCGAATGAATTAACTATCACTGACATGCATAAAGATTTTGCCCAGAAAAATCCACTACACTTTTGCTCTTATGAACTTTATCGCAGTATTCTTCAAGAAATCAATATTTCTTCTGCAAAATTAGGGCACAAGGAGTGCGAAATTTGTGAAGAATTTGGTGTTTATGACAGTAACCATTCAGAGAAATCTTTGTCTCCTGATTGCGCCATATGTCAGTCATGGTCAATTCATAAAGCAAACGCTAAGGAATCTCGGGAAAAATATGCATTACACGTTGCGAAGTCTTGTGAATCTGTAGACACTGTTTATTACTCGGCAGCGGGCAGATTTACAAAAAGTTATAATGTTGCCGAAGATGGATGAATTGAAAGTATCTGTGTTTACTCGTAGAATTGTAGGGTTCAATGAAAGCTTTGTTCCTTTAGGATCTTTGAAAAATAAGTGTAAGCCAATTGCTGCTATTTAGCACGAAGCTATTTCCGGTCATAAAAAAGAGCAAATTGTAAGTGCGTATCATTCTTTTTTTTTTTTTTTAAATCGAGATTCTAAAAAGATTGTTCTTTGGGTAGACAACCCTGGCGGATTCGATTTGCGTAATGTCTACTTAACTAAGCGGACTTTAGGTAGACATTAGGTAGACATGTAAAAAAACGTATAAAAAAGCTATTAATCGACTTATTATGATAAAAAAAAGTTGATAAAAGGGTAAATGAATGTTTATAGAGTAAATTCGTACAAAATTTGTAATTAATAAAGCAATAAATAATTAATAATGAATGGAAATGAGCGCGAGGTACCTGATCAGTTCAGCTGTACAATTATTTTCGTGCTATTTTCATGAAAAGAATATAAATTAACTGCAAAAACAATTGATATTTATAAAAAAGTGTAAAATTGATTTAATTTTATTGTTTGCAATACGAATTATTAAATAATAATTAAGTTTTTATCAAATGTGAATAGTGTTGTGAAAACCTGTGAAAACTAATGAGTTACTA